TCTGCAGTCTTTGGTGGAAAACGTGGAGAGATAGCAACGTATCTCAGTTCCTGACTGATTTTTTCTGTCAGTGCAGTTCCCTGCTGCCAGGAAGCCGGGAGATTTGATTCCTGCCTCTGGGACATCTGCCCAGCCACCTCCAGTCAACAGCACAAGGAGCTGAGAAGGGAGGGAGGTGATCTGCTGTAGAGAAACTACTGCAGACAGTTACCAAGGTGGATGCTTCCCTGCTGCACCTCTTTCCCCACTGTCCAACAAAATAAGGCTGCTTTCAGAAGAGACGGGAAGGTGGAAATCCCTACAATGCTCCTGATACAACCCAGTTGTCCCAGCAATGCAAGATTTGATGGTGTGACAGTGGGGAAGACGATGCTGGACGTCCTTACAGTAGCAGCCCATGCTATGAATGTGAGCCTTGCTGCCACAGAAGCCAGATGTGAATCAGAGCTGACGAATGCCGGACCCAACCTGGCAAAGCGACAGGGTCTGATCCAGTCTCTCAGGACCTGCCTCAATCCAATACAAGCTATTACCTGTGAGACAATTTCCCACAACGAAGGGAAAAGAATGATCAGTGGGCAGACAGAACAGTGGTGGCTCCTGGACTGCAGCAGTGGCTGCAGCTCTGATGGGAAAGAAAAACAAGTCAGGATTCTGGAAAATAAATTCATAAATTACAAATTAAAAGTAAAGAACCCTGTCTGAAAACGATGGTTTTAAGCCCTGTGAAGCAACAGAAAGGAGCTAGCCCTTTGTGCACAGGCACAGGGGGCTAACATGCAAACCCTGCCATAGGCTCAAGCCTTCCTGCTGTCTTCACGTGAACAGACTGACACAGATCTAGTGGGCTGCCCCTGCTGTCCATCTCCACTGATGATCTGGGTATGCAGGAAGGCAGCTCCTGAGCTGGCTGTTAGGGAAAGATGTGCTCTGGCACCACCCCCACTGCTGGGAGCAGTGGATAGCTGATGCTCAGCTCTTACCACATCTACTGCTCACCATCAGCATTCACTCGAGAGTGGGGAAAATGAAGACATGAGAATGACAGGAGTGCAGTGCAGATCACAGCAGCCTTTGCATGAAACAATCATTACAGGCAATGCCCAGGAGCAGAATGCAGGAAGGGTTCTGGTCCGGCTGAGTGCAGAACGCAGGGTGTCACCCTGGGAGGGATCCAAGCCTTAACAGCTGTTTCACATTGCTGTCTCATTAGGGATGGGGAAAATGGGATAAACCACGGTTATAGTATTACATGGGTCAGCTATGAAATATGTAAGGACATTGGTATTTTGCAGCTCAAAGACAAAGAGACGCTGTCAAGTGAAAATAGCATTTCTGCCTGTCACGACCACGAGACTACCATTATTTGAAGGCATTAATTAACTAAGTCATCATTTTTAATTCAGTTTACTTTCTTTGTGCACCTGACAGCACTGCCCAACTCATACTTCAACCATTCATCTTGCCTTCACCAAATCCTTGCAGAAGTGAGTAAGGATTTTCTAACATGATTGTAGCATTTCATCAAATAATATATTCAGAATAACGTAGTCTGAATCAAGATCAGAACAGTTCAGAATGGTTAAGTATGCAGTAACCACTTAAATCAGGACACTTCTAAAAGTGGAAGTGCCCAGGTATTTTTAGAACGTTACAGTATCATATTTATAGCCTCTCAATTAAAACAAAACCAGTGACACGCTTTTATCTGGATTACAGTTCTGTGTAACGGAGAACTGTACAGTTAAGAACTTTTGCCTTAGTTCAAACCTTAAAACTGTTTTTTCCACACACTTATGCAAGCACCAACCTTCACCTTCCCAACACCTCAGCTTCCCTGCTCCCAAGGTTATGCCACACTGCTCCCCCTCATACCAAAGGAAGCCAGCAGCTTTCATTCACTGCATGTGAATTAACACACTCGTCCCTGAATACTTCCTTCTTCAGGCCCGGCACACAGCTTCACTGTCATTTTTAGAGAATGAGTAAATGTTGAAATGCAGTGACGGAGTGGGAGGATAGTTTTCAAATATTCAGTATTAAACTAAAGCACTTCAGAGTTTTCCCTGCTCTTGCCTGATAACACCTTCTCCAAAATCAGTGTAATTTACAAAACATCCACGTTGCTGTTAAAAAAGTCTGTTCTCAGCTATCATCATGCAGGCAATCAGAACACAACCAGACAGTTCTACATGCAAACACTTCCCACACTGCTGAGCCACTGGAATTCCATGGTTAGATTTAATTTCATTACATTAACACTCTGTTGTTGCTACCATTTAATTTAAGCAGCTGATCATACATTTAGGCAGTGCTGTAAGATTATTCTTATTTCAATTTACATAATTTTCAGCTCCTCCTGTGGTTCTGACTGCTCATCAGTGCAACTCAGAGATCTGAGCTTGTTTGGGACCACGGAGATGCAAAGAGATGCAGACAAGCAAATATGACATGAATGATGTGTCAGAGGCCATTTTCTAGGAAAAAAAAATTAAGGAGCCATATCCACTGTTCCATGCATTTGGCTAAATCCATCTATTTCAAGGATGGCATCTCGTTATTCCTCCGAAGGCCAGGCTCACACAGCAGTACTTAATAGGCGCATTCGCATGGCTGGCGTTATGCAGCAGAACAAAAAGGCTGTGCAGTGCCACCGGCAGCCTGGGGGTGAGCAGGTCAAAGCAGAGTGCCTGAGCACCCAGGCCAGATCTCCTCCCAGCCCCAACACAGACACAAAAACCACATTTTCCCTGTATTTCAGTTAGCAAGATTTGCACCCCGCTTTCATCACCTGCCTTACAACAATCGAGTTCAACCTTCCCTCCCCCACCGTAGAACCTCACCCAGAACTGGCAGCATTAGCACAGGGCTTGCAGATGAGCATTTCATCACCAGCACAAACACACACACAGGTTACAGAAGCACGGAGAGCAACTCACCGAATGCACAGGAAAGGAGCTGTGCCGGTTGAGAAAGGAGTTAGAGACTGACATAGTGAGGCCCTGAGCGGCACCGGTGTCCTCGGGGGTGAAGGGCACTTTAGTTTGCTGGACACAGTAGGAGACAGAAGGGAAAGAAGAGGCAGCATAGGAGGCCTGCTGAACAGAGGGGGAGAAAGCAAGAGACAGGAGAAACAAAGAAAGAAAGCACAGAAAAGGCTATGAATAAAGGGTAAGAAACGCTAACTGTAAAACAACGCATATAATGACTTGTTAAGCAAACAGCTATTCATACAGTTCATCAGAGCCAGACAAACCGACGTGCCTTTCCTGAGCTCAAGGGGTGTGTCGAAAATCACAGCTCAAATCTTCTTTGTTTCACAAATCCCTTAAAAATAAACAGCCCAAGACAGCTGTGCCAGGGGGAAGCATGATGCTGCCCCTTCTTCTCCACGGCACCAGGGGCAGATGCCCACAGGAGCAGGTATGGGCAGGAGCAGCTGCCCAGCAAGGAGCTGCCCCTTTCAGCTGGGCAGCAGCTGGCTCCTGCAGATTAGCAGTTTTTTGTGGTCTTGTTTTTTTGGCCCATCTGCAGATTGGAAACTTGAGACTGCATAGTGTGGCCTGTAGGGCTTCACAGGTGCTGCTGAGATATTGCTTAACAGGACACCCAGCAAATTTTCAGTCCAATTCTAAATGACAGATCGTTTGCACAGGAGAGAGATATTAGTCTGCAAATAACAAATACTATCAGGAATTTCTCCTGAATTCCACTACGGTAAGGGCCCAAGGGAGGCCAAGCTGTATCTAGGCTTTCTCAGCTCTGTCCTGTTGAATATAACATACACACATTTCACATACAAGCTATGAAGCTTGCAAGAACGGACTTCCTAATTATTATTTTAGAGGAGTCCATCCAGCAGACTTCCTCGCTGCTGGAGCAGCTGATGTCCCCATGATTTGCTGCTTCAGAATCACTCAGGGCACTGTGAGCTGAGGAACAATAGAAGCTGATGGCTTTTCCAGTGATTGCTGAATGAGCCATTCTCTGCTTGCATCACCTTCCCAACTGGAGATGAAGGCAGAGGCACAAGGCTGCATTTTAAGAAACCTCTGCTTCAGGGGAACTGCAAGCAACACCTTGATAGCATCAGCTTGCAAAACTAGGATACCTGACAGGCAGAATGGTGACATCTTGGCTGCCCAGATAATGATTAAAGGGCAGCAAAGAAATGCTTTGCTTCCATTGACAAACTGCATAATACTCGGTTTACTCCAGTTTACTTCACCAGTTACTTTATCTCGTCAGGACACCTATCTGAGCCACAGGAATGTAGTTACTGAATTCCCAAATTAGACCTCTGTGTAGCTTCTCTGATTTGATTAAAAAGTAACCCTGGGGCAGTCAAATTTTAGCACAGATAACATGAGGATGCATTGCGACAGTTGCCATCCTAACAGCAAGAGCATGGCCCTGCTCCTGTATTTCATCCTGTTTTCTTACAGCCATGGCCAATCTAAGTCAGGTAGCAGTGAAAAACAGGTAAACTCCTGAATCACATACATGGACTAATGTAAGGAAAACATGCAAGAGTTAAATAATAGCTGTACCAAAATTCTGTGGCTTTGGCAAAGACGGAGCCACAAAAGCAGTGATTATGTTTGAATGGTTATTATCAGTGGCATCCTTGACAACAGTTGCAAAACAACATTGGGAACAACAGAGCAGCAACTTCTTCAAAACCATGCTGCCCAGTGTGTCAAAATCTTCAAAGTAACAGACATTACATGTGTCTCTAGTCTGGCACAGATTCAGCTCTGCCATGTGGAAGATGAAATCTCATTTTTAGGGGAAGAGTCTGAACGTAGGGTTAGAAAAGAACAGAAGAACTCAAAGTAGACGATGAAAAATGCCTAAAAACACTTAATGAGATGGCAAGGAATACAACGTGAACAACATCAGTGAGACCCCCTCCCACAACCACAGCCTGTCAGGAACAGGAGCAGCAAACACAGAGCTGCTCCAGGAGGGGCTGGGAAGGGCACTGTGGTGTCACTCACCAGCTGCCGCTGCTTCGGAGGGAGAGCAGGAGGGGGTGCCAGATCTTGAGAAGGGTCTAAGCTGATAAAGGAGTCGTTGAAGCCATAGACCTCCATGAGGTGCTTGTTCTTCTGCTGGTAGATGTGCTCGTTCTGTGGGGTCTGGTAGAACATGGATGGCTGTGGCTCTGAGTAGTCCTCTACAAACTGCATGTACGCCATCACTGCAACACAAAAAGTCACACTCAGTGCTCCTGGCCCGTGTGCTGCAGCTATCCTGCCACGAGCAGGCAGAGCGCCTGCCCTGAAAATAAAAGAGGAGTAAGACCATGCTGCTCTCAGCTGCTCTCATCCAGGAGCAGCAAGGTATCTGCAGTAACTCACACAGCAAGCTGCTGTTCACCTCACAGAAATGAATTTGTGAATGTCTTCTTCTGCAAGCCAGTGCACAACGGAAGCCGTCACAGTGCACAAACACGTTTGGCAACAGATTTGCTTAACCCAGTGAGGTCTCCTAAGAGGGACCAAGGAGCATGATTCACCTATTCCTGGGCCAAGCCCCCTCCCTCATGTAGCCCATGGCAATCCAGAGAACACTGCTCAGCAGCTAATGCTCACACTCACCAAAAGAAAGAATGACTGCAGTCTGCTTTGTAGGAGGTACAAATCGTCTTGCACCTCAATAGCAAGTAACTCCTGTGCCTATAATAAGTGTCCCATCTATAGGCAAACTGCAAGCTCTCTCACTCTAGAGATTGTGCTTTCTCCATCCTAGCAAGCTGGTGAAATTCATTGGAGAACACCCACCTGCAGCACTGGGCACACCTCCCTCCGCTATTTCTATGCCACTGCTGGCACAACAGACTGATCTCTTAGAAAAGTCATTGACCACGACTTCTTTCTTCCTCAGCTCAATTCCAGCATCCCCAGCTCTCTCCCTTTCCAAGGCATCTTAGCACCTTTAAATTTGCAAATGAATGCAGCTGGTTCAAAAGCATTTCTGAGATTCGGTTTGACAAAACTATTAAATGGGATGAAGCCTTATTTCGTGGACCTTAGCATCTATACAATATCCTCCAAAAATCTTCGAAAAAGTCCCATACAGGTCTGTCTATGAAGATCTGACAAAAGATTTGCTTAACATTTTAATGTGGAAGGAGAAGGAGATCCAGCATCATGGAAGGATTACTACAAAACCCCAGAATTATTAAGGGACAGAAATGTATTTAGATGAAAAATACATAACTTTCATCTATGGATCTGAGAACTGGAACAATAATTGTAATTCATTGTCATAAATAAAACTAACCAGGGACTTGCAAATACGCTGTCACACACAAATTACTCTGATCATCCATCCCCTCCTCCTGATAAGCACGCAGTTGTCAGGCTTTGTAACTCTGGTCATTAGGCAGCAATTATTCAGCTCCTGCTAGCATTTCAGTTGCACAGCCGACATGAATGGATGATTTCAGCGAGAGCTGTAAATACAGCCATCACAGCGCAGTATCTGGGCATTGTGAAGCTGGTTCCCACACTAGCTCCAAGGCAAAACCTTCTGTTCACCTGCCAGGCAGGCCAGCCTACTGCAAACAGGATGCAGCCGTGCAGCGTGCCGGCAGGAAGGACCCGCTCTGCACCTGCCATGTGCACCTTTTTACACATTTCCTTTAGTGCTTTAAACTTTGCTTAGAAACGGAGCTAAAGCAGCTGCCCCTTCCCACCCAATGACATCCCTCCTCCAGAAAACCAAATAAAAAAAGGAAAAAAGCTCAGGAAACCCCAGCTGGTACATTTCGATCCCGAGCGGTAACACCTGCTGTCCCCATCCCATGACCCCACACCGTGCTGCCAGAGGACAAGCTGCCCATGTCCCACAGCACTGCAGAGCTCTGCCAAAGCTGCTGCACTCCTGACCTTCAGCTACACCAGCCCAGCTCCTTTTCCTCCCCCAGTCTCCCCCTGGCTCCCCAGCACCACACAGAGATGTCAGGCACCATCCCTGGTGCTCAACCCCTTCCTTTTTGAAGGCAGAACTCCAACTGCACACACACATCTCAGTGTGTGCTGATGTCTGCTCTCTTGCTTGTATGAGCACTTACATATAAGCCAAGTCCAAGCTTACTCCACTTTCACACAGCATCACATGAATTCTAAGACCTAGCAGTAAAAAGATGCTTTGCCAACATTCTCTTCTTTCTTTTCTGAAGGTGTATTGGTGCAGATAATACAGAATTACTAAAACACTAAAGCATCTGCAGTTGACTCCAGTATTCCCATTAATACTTGTGCCCTGAAAAATGTCTTAGTATCACACAGCTGCTTTGCAGGATAAGTTCTGCACACATCTTAGGAAATATATTTCCCTAGTGGCAAAAGTGAACTAAGGATACAGGTCCTTGGAGAAGCATGGAGGACAAGAGCTCGAGGGAAAAGATCACATTTTTAGAGCTCATCAACTTATTAGGACAAAAGCCAAGAATTCTGGCTTGGCAGCGCTGCTATAACACAGCTGACACTGCTAGATACAGACCAAGCCTTCATGCACAGTTATCTACAAAATCTGTGCTGCACTTACTGCTCAGATCTGAAGACATCTCAGGATCAATAGCTGGGAGTTGCTGGGTTCAGAAGTTTGTTTGGCACTACAGACTCAGGAAGTGTTGGTGAAAAGCACAGCACATTAGATGTCTGCGTAAAACTGAATTACTGCAACTCAAGGTAGTGAGCCTGAATGCTGTTGAGAGCCTTAACTCAATCTGGAAGGGAATAATGAAGAGCTCTTTTATCTCTGCACTTTATGAGGCTAATGCATCCCGCTGCATGGCAGCTCCTGTGCCTTGCTTGTTACAACTAGTCCAGGGCTGTGGAGTGTGTTTCTGCCTCTACTCTGTCTTCACCTGTTTTTAGGTGAAGCAAAAACCAGCTGGGATGGTGAAATACCAACCTGGCTCAGCAGCAGAGATTGCAGAGCACAAATTAAATAGACACCAATAAAATGCTGCCAATCTTCAGCAGGAGGAAGGCAGCAGGACCACTCCTGAGATGGCTGTTTGCGAAGGCTCTCCTCTCCCCCCCACTCCCTGCTGTGGTTTCAGATGAGGCAGAAATTTAAAAAGCAGATGGGAAATTACATCACCAGCTCAGATCAGGCTGCATGCCCTGCAGCAATTCTGCAAAGAGGGAGGGATGGGGGCTGCAGCCTCCACCGCGAGCAGCTGGGGTGGGGTGACAGTGTCTAAACAGCACCTCGGGAGAGAAGGGAGGAGTGAGACAGAACCTCTCCCACCACGGCACCATGTGCAGCTTAGGTCAGCTCTCAACCAAGGCAGAAAGTACTTGAAAGGAGGGAGTGAAAAGAATAAAAAATAAATAAAAAAATCTCTGTCTGCGGCAAGGAACACCTTCCCTGCAATCTGCTCGCAGTGCTGTGGCTGTCATTTCTGAAGGAGCTGAAGCTGCTCAGGGATTTCTAGCACACATCAGCTCTGCCCACGTGATGAAAATCGCAGGTGCTGCTCACGCTGCAGCAGGAGTCAGCCAGCAGTGCTGTGGGAGCCCTGCAGCCTCAGACCAGCGTTTCCTGGGGTCTGCGAGGGATTCTTGGAACGTTATCAGCAACAAGGTATATCTGCAATACCAGTAAGGCACAGTAGTCTCTGATGAAGAAAAGCCATCGCAGGTCTGAGCCAAACTCCTGGTGCTGCCTGCGTTACAGCCAGCCCCACACAACAGCGCTGGATTCATGCGCACAGACAAGGGCCAAAGTAATGGAAATTCTCAAGCTGCACCACGCGTCAACTCACTGGAGAAGTCAAGGTCGAACAAGCCAGTCTTTGCTGTCACCTCTGGGAGGAGAGCTGTTTTTCAAAGAGCTCCCATTATACGCTGGCTAAGCCCCGACTGCCCTCAGCGTGGTTCCTGCAGTTGAATACTGGCTGCTTACAGGGCATCAGGCTGCATTTTGTCCCCAGTGACAGGGAAGGAAACGTAAGTAAGTGCCTCACCACGGTCTGCAAGCTGGCTGGGGGCAGGATCTTGCTATTTCTGACTTCAGGCTCTTCATGGCAGAAGCTGATCCCTGCCCATGTCTTGTACAGCAGGAGTACGATGCTCGTGCTCAAGCAGATGTCTGGAGTAATTTGCCCTTAGCACAGTAGAACAACAGTAACTCACGCCCATTTAAAAGGTTTATCACTCCCCTGTTTAAATTATAGAGACGTCAACTCTTGGAGGTCCCTCTGAGCACAGATCAGAGCAAAACACACGGTTAACTCAAGGAGGATTCACTATATACTATTTATGAAAGACCAAAGTATCAGCTGCAACATTTCCTGACAGCTACCAAAAGATGACCCACAACAAAGGCACTACAACCAAGTCATCTCTGCAACAGCTCTGGATCTTTCTAATACATTCATGCATCTCTTCAGGGTCTCAGAAGTGTGCTGGGGCTGTGGAAGCAGCTCTGCCTCATCTACATGGTTACACATGAGGGTCTACACGTGTCAGTCCCTGGGCCAAAAATTCCTGGGCACTACCACAGTTTTTCACTGCCCTTTTTGTGTTGAAAACAAAAGGAAAACTAACAACCACAGATCTCTGGTGTGATACACTGCAGAGTAAAGCATATGAAACAAGTTCTTAGTGTCAGAAAAAAGCCATTACAAATTTGCAGCAGTCAGGTATGAGCCCAAGTACTCTACTGCAGGCTTTGTAGCAAGGATGTTTAATCAAAGCTGTGGAGCCGCCAACACATCAGGTAACACGTTCTCCCATTCCTTACAATGCAATCTGATCAATCCTCTGACATCTTCTGATAGTGCCAGATGACAGCTAACTCTATTCTAACATCAAAGAAAGCTCACTACAGGGCTTTGCCACTTGGGTTAAAAGTGTGCATGGACAACAAAAGAGAAGCTGGCATCTAAAACTTTTTAAGTAATTGCTTGACTTCTCATATAGCAAGAGGAAACGAAGAGATGGGGTTTAAAGAGAGAAGTAAATATCCTAGGTCTCTCCTTCAACCATCACACTGTCTCCTACCCAGGGCCCATCCCAGCACCACTCCCACTAAAGCTGTTTGCAAGTACACAAGTTCATTTCCTCACACCCACTCCAGACTGCAGGGCTTAACATCACCTGTATCCAGTCCTCATCATTCAGATGCAGAGCTCACAGGATCCTGACCCTACAGAAACTCCTTGCTGTATCTCATTCCCTTGCAATTTACACTGAATCCCAGTATTTTGAACAGCAGGAGCCATAAAAACCAAACCAATGCAGATGCCAGCATTTATTTCCGTTCTGCCATCTGCAAATCAGCATCTGAGCACCTTTTTGGTTGCTTTCAGTATATTTTAATGTTTGCTTACCAGAGAGGGACAAGTGATTTTCAGTGTATGGGAATGCTGAATGAGACTACTATAATCTGACCTTCATTTTCAGGCAATCTGATTAAAATCCTGGAGGGTTACAGACCTGGAGGCATCACTGAGGCATAGAGGAGATGATTTCTGTCAATGCACTTAAAAAAAAAAAAAAAAGTGTCTAGCATAGAAAACTACACAGGCATGGACAGAGCACAGATCCCCCTGCACAAGACACCAATCTCACACCTTTTCCCAGTGAAAGCTCTATTAATTGTGGCAGTGAGTCAGAAGGTCAACTCATAACCTTCAAATCAGCTCTTCACTTGAGCTGCAAGCCATACAGCTCAACGCTGCTCACCCAGACCTTTTGTACACTACTTCCCCATGCAACTGCAAAGCTAGCCAGCAACTGGTAAAGTAACACATCCCACTGTGTAGTCCACAGCTTTCCTTGATAGATCAGTATGTCTGCTCCTCTTGCAAGAGGTTTCACACATTTTCAGCCATGAACATTAAGGAAATCAAAATAAGGTCACGAGAGCCAGGAGTCTGACTGGGGATGTAGAGTCTATGCATTTAGAGGCTGGTCATCTTAATGATGTGGGAAACTCTCAGGCACTCAGGAAATGAGATCCTGTAGCAAAACAGTATTGGACACAAGGTTAATAGTGCTGCCCTGCACAGCTACGCAAGGGACTATGGTCCTATTGTCAAATAACTGCACTGGCAACCCTCAGTTCTGGACAGAAAAGTAGCCTTTTCTCTGAGCTCTTGGACAGTACCCCATTTTCTTCTTCTAGGCAAACATTCATAAACATGGGGGAGATAGAATGGACACAAAAAGGGAAAACGATCCAGTGAAATGTGGAAGAGTGGCTCAAAGCTTCACACTTGTGCAAACAAAAATAAAATGTTCTCACTACAGTAATGAAGATGCTGAATGCTGCCACCTCCCCAGGGCCTGCACCATTCCAGGCTCTCTGTCCACCAAAGGACTGGCACTTTCCTTTCACATCTGATACCGACCAAGAGCAATTTCAATGCTTAGCTCAAAGGCATTACCTTGGGGTCACCATAACTTAGTGGTCATCAGAAGCATGGCAAACGGAAGAAAAGAGAAAGCTAAAAGTAAACCCCAAACATAAGATCTTGCTTACTGTGTTTATTTTTCTTCTCCGGCAGAGGTGGTGGCTTCTCTGGGTCACTGTTAGAATCTGGAGCAGCAAAATCAGCAATGAACTCAACTGGTGCTGAAGAGTTTCCTTGTTGGAAGGGCAAAATAGGAGCAAATGGCGTGCAGGGTACTGATGAGAGAGATCCTGCGTTCTGCATATCATCCTCTGAGATGTTATCATATTGGGAAGGATGTCTCTCATACGAGACCCTGCAGCCTGAGTCTGAAGTCTGAGAGGCTGCGCTTCTCCTCTTCTTTTCTGGTAAAGCTGGAGGGGTCTCTGTTGGCTGCACAGCTCCTGAGAGGCTGCAGAATTCCAGTGGAGAAGAGCTGCCCTGTGGGAGCTGGAAAGCGTGTCCATGGAAAGGGGAGCCAGACTCACCCAGGGACTCTGGCAAGGGGCTGAGGATACCTGGCACCTGTTGAGGTATCTGATCAGCATTCGAGAGGTCCTGCTGCAAGAATTCATAGTCTGGGTCATAGTGATCTGATTGATCTGGTTAAAAAGAGAGAAAAGAAGAGTCAGCCATTAGTTTCTCTCTTTTACTGTTCAGCCCTTCTCAGTTCTGCCCATCTCATTCTCCCAGTTAACTAATCAGTTCATGTAATCAGAGTGGCACTTCCTTGCAGCAGGGACTATCTTGCTCTACTTTCTGTAAAATCCATGCTTAAAACCCATACCTTTATACTAGCAAACAAATAAAAATTCAATGGGTATTTAACTGCAATATTTCACATTTAGATTTTTATTTTCTAGTACCTGGAAGCATCACCTAAGCCTAACAGTCCTGCTGTTTCCTACTGATGTCTGCAGAAAAGCCTGAAACCAACAAAACACTCCACTCGAGAGCTGAATTGAGTTTGAACACAATCATCTCTAGCTAGGGAAACATATTCCCCTGGGCTTTTTCCTATCTGACAGGATATCATTTCGCATTGAACTGCCTTCAGTAACTACAAGACGACAATTGCAAGCACAATCCATTTACTTCTGCACCACAGCAATGACAGCTCCCAAACGAAGGTGATGAGGGTTCCTGCAGCAGTCCTGGCCCAGCCCAGCTCACCTAATGTTTCACAGCTTGTGTTGCGGGAGCACTGACCACTGTCACGGTCCAGAGAAGAGAGCTGCTCATCGGACTTGCTGAGTTTGCCAATGCTGCTGCACGGTGAGAGGCGAGGAGATTCTCCCCCATAGGAGTGGCTGCCACCTGACAACCTTCTCTGGGCATAGCAGTCAACATCAAAATCCTGAAGCAAAAAAAAACCAACCCAAACAACCAAAACAACAAATTACCATCATTCTCGGCAGCTTGCCAGTAATAAGATACAGCTGAAGGAACACACCTTGCAGCTACTGTAAGAAAACTAGGAAGGGAGCAGATGAGTGCTGCTAGCCCGCCCTAGTTAGACAAGCCCACAAGGAAGCCAGAAAGCTTCCCACTGGGTAAAGGGCGCAGAGCAGAGCAGCCCCCAAAAGGAGCCCTGCATGCACCTGCTGGAGGCCAGGGCATGCTGTGATCCACAGTGGATGTCTCCAGCTGTTGACATTTGTACTGGGTAACTAGAAGGCAAAAATTCTCGTTAAATAATTGGGGCTTTATTAAATATTTGGTTAGCTTTGTGCATGCAAAGGGTAAACAGGTGATAATGGGATACAGCTGACGTCAGCTTTTGGCGCCCATTGGCTACGTTTCAATTTCAAAAATTACCTCAAGCTCATCAAGCTGCAAGTGAACCTCACAGGTATTCCCATCCCTGCAAATCAATCTAAATGAGATTGCACCAGTAACTGCAAAACCACCACAGCTTTATCTGGGTCAGCCGACTGACAGCAGAGGCTTCCTAAGTCAGAGCTCTGGGGACTGAGAGCAAGATTTGATTTTGGTGCACAATTCAAGTTCTCACTGCTGAGTCAGTAAGTTCCTGAAGGTGTAAAGCAAAACGAACTAATTACAGTCTTGTAAACTCTGCATTAGCACAAGTGATAGAGCATGACTAATGCATGCTGTCACAAGTTTTCTGTAGTTCTACCAGAAAATTTACAAATTTCCCCAAAGCACCAGCAGCAGTCAGAGCAGATGCTTAAACTATTGCTTAAGTTAATTGACGTGTTAAACTGGAAATGCAAAAATATAGGCTTCTAATGTCAACCTGCTACATGACCCCTGGCCTGCAAGTAAACCTTGGTAGGATCTTGTAAATACAGCAAACCACTGTACTCCCTGCTGTATGCAACACTGAGACACTCAGCCCCTCAGCTTTTCACACTCTGTAAAACCTTAAGGCATCAGAGTTTGGTAGCAGTTCATTCATTACTCAAATCCAACAACAAAATGAAGAAAAAAAAAAAACAACTATTCACATCATTGACTACATTGATGTTCCTGCTGCTAGAATTCCATCCCAGCATTGTTCCAGATAGGGCTGCCTGGGACAAGCAGGAACTGCACTGCACAGGTCACAGAGCTTTTCTGCAGGACGTTTCCTTTGGATTTCACAAAGGAGTTATGCCATTACCTGTCTGTTGATTCCAACAGGCAAACTGGATCCGCTGGTGGCTCGACTCATGGGGGCCACAACTGCCACCCTGGTTGGGGAAGGCGCCGACTGTCGTTTTTTAGGGGGCAAGGCTGGAGGAGGACTGCAAGACACAACAGGTGTTGATGCTTCCATCACCACCAAAAAGACTTTCAGAGGCTTTAGGAGCTTGTTTCTCAGATAGCCTCTGCCTTGTTAGGATCAAAAAGCTCACATCCAAAGCTGACCCGGAGCTACTCAACAAAGAGTCTATCCTAACAAATCCCGAGCTAACAGCACTCTCACAGGAAAGGTCCTGTTCAGTGATGTATTTTTTTAAGCTTGGAGAAGACTCAGTATTTCAGAAACAAAAATAATTGCTGTGTTAAAAATTATTTTTAATGAAGCTAATTAGCACAGCAATTATTCTTGCATAAAAGCGGTGGCAGTCCAAATTAAATGCTTTGGTTGACCCGAACAAGGTTTCCGTTCACAGAAATTTCTCATTCCTCCTCTTCAAACTCTTTTAGCTTTGAGAGGGGTTTCAAAGCTGAAGCAACCTACAGGACAGTTAAATTCTCTATGCCCTTTTCCTTGAAGCAAGTAGACTGTCAGAGTCACCACGCATACATGCTGCATGGGCCCAAACTGTGGCATTCATCAGTTGCAGATACATTATCATACACCCATTGGTAGTAACCACTGAGATTTTAACCACTGTGTATTCAAGTTTTGCTTCTACTGACAATTCTGGCAATCATCAAGTTTGTGAATTTCCCAAGAGCACACATATTCTGCTCCTGGAACGTAACAGGATTTTTTATACATATATAACCCATGAGAATTCATAAAATACCCAGAAATGAGGTGTTTTTCTGCCAGCCACAGTCCCCCTGATGCTGCATTTCCAAATGAGCTCACGATAAGCATTTTCACACCATCTATTAACACCAGTACTAGAGGAGAAAAACACCATACACACACCAAAAAGCTGCAAACTGGAGGTTTTCTCTTCCTTCCAAAATAGAACATAGATACTTTCATGTGGTTACTCACAGAGCTGGCTAAGTACAACTAAATAAAAGAGTTTTTTCACACAGTAGAAGCTCCTTACACTCTTAGTTTGACAACCAATGTAGAGCCACCTGGATGTGCAGAACAGGTTGACAATTGCCAACTGAGGTTAACAAAGCATTTGCCTTTGGAAACAGCAACAGCAACTAAAACAGCACAGGATACTGCTGTGCAGAGTTGTACAGAATATGGTGTGTATTTATGTAGTCTTAAATAAAAGCTTTAATGCATTTATGCAGTGCCTCTCATAGGAAAGTCTCAGGCACTGTACCATCCTCATGGGGAAAAAAAAACAACAGGAAAGGAAAACACAGACAATGAAGGGTAGTGCTCAGAACAAGACAGAAAGAACATGGAGTCATAAACAGATTCCAGTAGCTGGGAAGAATTACTCAGGAGGACTGGAAATTCAGAAGCATCACTAACCCTGCGACCTCATGTACCCATTTTGACAAGAACGTGTAACCAACAGATGCTAAGGGCCACTGCCACTCTTCTGCCAGCTGGCTGGCCAGCATTACCTGTTTTCTGCCACACGAATGCAAGGCAGAGGGGGTTTAGGAGGTGCAACCTCTTCGTCCATGGAGTCTGTCAGTAGCTCATTTGATTGAGTCATATTAGTAGTTTTGCTCAGGATCTCCATTTCTCGGTCTGTAAGGGGAAGCTCTGATGGGCTGTAACAAGCAAAAGACAGACTGCAGATCACAAAATGCAGTCAGAATGCAGCACACTGACAGATTAATATATATTTTACATCATATGCAATAAGAGAAACCTACAGCAGAAGGAAGAATTCACATCTGCAAGTAAAATTAGAAGCATACACAGAATAATATGTGGACATGTCACAGCCAAGTGATGCTTCACTGCCAGATTTTGGTATCTTCTCTATCACTGCATACAGTTCTCTTGAAGTAATGCCACTGTAATGCATAAGGCTACACGAAGAACACAACACTGCCTGCTGTGGAAAACAACTCAGTACTTTAATCCAACTATCAGTCAGCAATCAGAAATTACCTCACATCAAGCTACTATACTGGACTGGCACGCACAAGAATGTTTGTAAGAGACCCACCTATCAGATTTACATGCTGGTAAGCTGGGTTTAACAGGGCTTGTGGGAGAGGGGTGCTCCTGCTTTTCAATCGTGAGTTTGACCAGCTCCTGGTGGATGGAGGGGAAAGAAGGAAAAAGAAAAGAATCATTACATGCATAATGTTGCACTCAAACATGCTACAACAGAACAGGATTCTACTGCAATAAACTTTTGGGGACCCACTTAGGAGTTAATGCTGACATGGACAGTGAACTGAGCTGGGTGTAAGCTCAGTGGAGAGCCACACAAATGAGGTGGTAAGGGAGCAGCATGCACCCAGCAGCAGTTCAGCCATATCTAAGTTCACAAACTGCAGCCCTATGGGGATTCTGCACAAACCCACATATATTTCTTTTTGCTGTGCTTCCTCTTTCATCACAAATATGTTCCAGTCCCCATAATGCCCTAGATAATATCAAGTTGACTTTACATACATAAATACAAGTAAATAAATGCTTTTTGCATGAAGTATTTCACTTGGCCAGTAAAAGAGTTATATCACTGCTTTACAGTTCACGAACAAGTGCGTGTCACGTATTTGTTTCAAAGGCTGGTTTCTGAAAGACATCCAGCAAGAAATTAAATAGTGAACACCTTTATTAAAAGGCCTGCTCCCCCCGGAGCCACCTTTTAACTTGTTAGCAAAGAAAGTCTTCATCATTCAGGGAACTATTACAGCATATCTGCTGTAGGCAGATAAGGCGGTAGATAAAGAGATAAGTGCATGATAATCCTGAACTCCAAGTCTGCCAGCAGCCAAAGCAACATTCACTCATTCCAGAAAGATGGAGAGAACTTTTCATGGGTGACTGAGGCCAACAAACAGACCTGCTGCTCACAGACACAAACACGTGCGCTCTCACAGTTAGGCTGCATAACTGGCAGTGCTTCCTGACACTATTGGCTTCCCAGCATGTTATGCAAAGGAAATTATACGGGATCAATTTTATTTATTAGCAGCTTGTCACACAGTGTCATCATTCCAGTATCATCTTCATGTCTGTGTCTGCTGAGGTCAGAAACGGTCATCTCCTCTTCCAACACAATCATCACAAAGAGAATAAAGTAGCACCCTGGATGTGTAAAGGATGGAAACCGCAATCCACTTCAACATGTCCAAGTGCACATCACAACTGATTCTGACTTGGCCATCATATCATTATATATTACTTACGTTCCTGGTATGACTTTGGGCACAAAAATAATTTGCAGAGAGTCCACCAAACGCACAACAAAATGCTCAGCTTTAAAGAAACTGTCTTGAAAAGCCCACTGATGGGGAAGAATAAGAGTGCACAAGCACAGCACATACAGATGGCCATCTGGGCTAACACTATGAAGATGTTCCTATCTGGGACAGACAGACAAGAAACCTGGCATCTGCTGAGAAGTACCTCGATTAGCAAAAGCACAAAAGCGCTTGATTCCCTCAATCCTGGCTTTTTTTCCTCTCCAGTAACCCCAGAATGAGAACTAGTGTTTGAAAATCAAGCCAAGATCTTCAATGTACACACAGAGGTAACCAGCATGCAACTGAGCCAGATGCACATTATGCTGTTCCTTATCAGCAAGTTAAGAGATTCCTGCAGCAGTAATTAGAGATAATTAAAGCCTCTCCACAAACTTATACTACTTCAGCAAACTGGAAATTCCAAGATGAGATGGATTTTTAAGAAGTTATGTAATCAAAACAAGGATTTTTTTTCCCCTTTATACATAGCTTGCAAGGCACTAAAACCTGTCATCAAAACAGCAAAGAGCACAAGTGAACAAGCAAGTCATCTGTGCTCAATTCTGAAAATAAAGGGGGAAGTAAATACCGAAATGTGGAAGTGGATCTTGTGTGATCTGCCAGAAAAACAAAAAAGGCTCTCCACAGCAGAGAAGTGTCCAGCTTCTCAGTTCTGCTTCCAGACCTGAAGGCTCGCTTGGCCCTTCTAAAATAAACCTTCCTTGCTATGCAGTAGGAGATCAGCACAAAGCACTTCCAAACACTGAGTCTTGGTGGGCAGACGTTCACTTCTACCCAGACTGCCTCACATCTGCTCTCACTGTGTTCCAAGCTGACCAGACATAAGCCAGCTCCAACTGGAAGGCCAAAATAACTTGCAGTCTAGCAGCAGGAGGAGACTGATACAGCTCAGTGAGGTTAACAGCTCAGGCTTAGCACTGCACGGCTATGCCAGCACTGCTTCCAGCCTAGGCTGGCTCAGCAGACATCCATGACCTTCCATCCATTTATCCATCCATCCACCCATGCACCCTGCTGTGGTTGGGAAGCAACTGCTATCAGGTGCTTAAACCTTGTTTGAAGTGAAAGGACAGTGGGTGTCCCAAATTTCATGCAACTGTAACCTGGAGCTAGTGGTAACACGGGACTGCAGATTCATTAGGTGATAACAGGGTGAACTCTTGCGCTGTTTATCAGCCTACATCTGCTCAGCTGTCAAGAGTGCAGATTTTCATATGCTGCAAATGGCTGCTGAATTGCAGCACCAAAGAAGCTGAGACTTAATGCTGAACTCTTCTCCATCCTGCTGTGCAAACTTAATACCCGCTTTACTTCTCAAATCTGGAGCTTAAAGTTAAAGGGCATACTGTGCAAAATAATCCTAGAAAATCTGTCCACTTTAAGTGATGGAAATGTTTTCTTTCAAAGATATTTGTTTTAAAGGATTGGTAAGTCACACTAGGGTTTAGTATCTGTATTTGAGCAACAGTACAGGGATATTCAGAGCACGCAAATAACATATCAAGATTCCTGAAAGCATGATAGTCAAAGCTTGGGAGACTCACTGGATTTTCACATTCAATTCCAGATAATAAAAACTAAATGGACTTTGTGTACAGTCAAAGATGCTGTTTCCTGACACATTCATCCAGTTGAAGATCCTGCTCCAGCTCTTGAAAATCCAAATTTCCTGCTGTACTTGAACTAAACGCTGCTCTGCCAGTTCAGCCCTTGTTAAAGACGCTCAGCCTTCTCTACAGTATTCAAAATAAGATTCCTAGGAGATATGACAGATCTCTCTGTCCAAATCAAGGAAACTTTTAACTCCAGTACTGGGAAGCTGAATGCACGGCCTCTGTGGCCTTCAGCAGTCTGGAAAACGGTCACAAATAATAAGTACCAAAAACTTACTGGGACACAGAAGGAAAGCCAACAGCTTTTCCTGGGTGCACAGGGAGGGAATTGTGTAAGTGTGTCTCACAAAGGACACAAAGGTTTCCATTCAATGTTCCCCATTAGTTACAAAAAAAATTAATCTCCAGAAAACTGAGCTTAGCTCATCAGCTGTCCCACACCCTAACCTGACTGCTGAAAGTGATGCTGCATCACTGACACTTTGACATCCATGCTAAAAGATGAAGCTGGAATCTTTGATTCTCTATGGGAATTGACAGGAAGCGTTTCCATTAATTTTTGTCTAGACAGAAAAACATGCAAACTCAGACCTGTAATCTGCATAGGAGACAAAGAGAATGGGAATTACCTGCTGAAAATTTAATACAATGCTCAATTAAGATTTACTGCTTCGGGCAATCCATCCAAATGCCAGGCTGAACATTTAGAAGTGCACACTAATAGCCAAACCATTAATGTTGGTCTTTAAGCAGTACCAAGCAGGACTGTTTCACTTCCAGAGCAGTTGATGTAAGAGGTAAGCTTACTGAAAGAGCAGGACTTACCAGCACTCAAAAGCTTCTGACTTTCAGCTAGATCTCTTCTAGAATACAGACTTGTATGCTTTTTATAACTTGCCTCACATACCTTAACTCCATCCAGAACAGCTTTTATGACATCTTTAACAGTTGTCACCATCTCTTTGTCTTCAGAATTCACACCTTCCAGCATCACTTGATCAGACCAGCGAATGAGGTTGGCCAGGCTCTGGTACACACGGCTGTAGCAGGATGAGATGGCAGAACTGGATGGCAGGGAAGGGAATAGTCAAGAAAAAAGGGAAAAAAAAATAATCAGTTACAGAGATATTATCAAATGCTACTAGAGAGAGCACGATCTGAAGTGCATTTCACTTAGAAGTATTTTACACTATCCACTGTTATGAATTCTCCTTTTCATTCTGACATTCATGATTTGTGTTCAGCAGGTGACAAAGCCTGGGCTTCCAGCTCTGCTGCAGTTGCTCTCCTGTTCTTTAGAGCCAAATGGAACAACAGCATGAAAGCACAACCAGCTAATAATGTGAGCTGCAAGCTAACATAGCAGTGCTACGAAGAATGCTTTTTCCCTTTTAATCCATACCCCCATCCCATGCCTCAACTTCAAAGGTAACTACCATATCCTGCATTTATGTCTAATTCATATTATTTCAGTGCTATCTATGATTTCCTTCTTAACCCCCCTCAGAAAACACTTCACATAACTGCAAGCTGACTGCATCATTCCTTTAGAAATAATTTTCCCACTGCTTACAATGCCTGAAAACAAGCAATTAAAACCTGCTTCTTTACAAAAGCTGAGCTGAATGAATTTCAGGTTTGGAAGAGGAAGGGTGTTGTTTTGTTTTGCTTTTAATGAGAACCAGAACCCAAGCTATTGTTCTGAAGGAAAAGAAATGAAATTTGGAAGGACGACAACTCTAAATAAAAGTTAACTGTAACACCAGTGCTCAGAGGCACTTTCCTGGCCGCTCTGAAAACACTTCATTACTAAACAAGGTGTGTTAACAGTGCTGCTGATGGCAATTCTTCGTAAAATTAAATCAATTTCAAACTGCATCAAAACCATAAGGAGATAAGAGAAGGTGCAATCTTGCCATCATCACAGATACGAGCGTTGTGAATCTTCCCATTTCTCTCTGGCACCCATCTGACACTGGCTTAACTCCAATCATTTCATTATCTGTGAGAAGAGCACCAAACCCACAAACTTGAGGGAGATTATTTAGGTGAGAGCTGTTTGCAGAACCAGGGATACAACTACTGTCGGCTTACAGCCAGAGGGATACAGACAGCAGCAAGGGCTTCTTCGTTTGTTTGTTTTATAAGCACAGTGCTTGCCATTTGTTCTAATTTTAAATGAAATTAACTTAGTAGGAGATATTTCCTAAATAGGGTCCTCCTCCATCTCTTTCTCTGGCTTTGATTTCTTTGTGATTAATCTTCGGTCTGCTTCCTTCTAAGGAGGCAGTAATTGAAAGCCTATTTTTGCTAGATTTAATTACTTTTTTCCTCGATGCAAGCCCTCCCCCTAAAGCAAAAAGGAGCCCAGCAGTAATTGTAGGGCTTTCTTCCACACTGACACAAGTCTTGCTCTCTTTTCTTGAGGGGGATTTACCATCAAAAGCACCCCTTTGTGTCCTGCCACTACTCAAAATAAATAAAGTGCATATGTAGTCATGAAAGGACGTGGCTTTTAGAGGATGACAAATCCCCTTTTTCTCTGCAAAGCCAAACAAGGCAGAACATACACAAGGGATCTGTGCTGCAGTCCAGAATGAGAGATTCATCACTAAGTAAGGAAGACTCCACTGACTACTGACTACAGAAATTCTGCTTACAGGCTAAATGTGGATATCCAGCTGTCAAGGTTATATTACCTCACTTCTAAGGGAAAAGGTACAAGGAATTTGAAGAATAGAGCTGTCTGAAATACTGCTGCTGCTGAAGACCACTTAGCTGATATTTATTTCCAATATATTCTTGGAAGGAAAGATCACCCCGCGGATACACAAATCAAAGCAAGCGACTACAAAGATGACATTTTCTATCCTAAAAATATTTGCTGACATTTTACATGTTCTCCTGATGTAACAGGAAAGTTTGTTCTCTCTTTCACTAAGTGAAAGCAGGTGCCTGTCAGGAATTTAATGACTGCAGGAAACCTGATAGCAACGGAAGAAACTTTTGTGCCTGAATCCAGAAGCCTGATGAATGCTCCAATTCTAACAGCTATTGCTCTTTGTACTTCTACAAACCCAACCTAAATTGCAGCCCCCCTGTCTCAGTCACAGCTCTGGTACTCACCCATTGTCTCCTTCCTTTTGTGCTATCAGATAAAAGCATGCCCTATGTATTGGGACCAGACAGCACTAAACATCTCTGTTAATAAAATATTGGCACCCTACAGCTGTCTTGACCGTACCATAAACCTTTCTTGCAGCACAATTGCACTGAACATCTCAAAAACAAAAGTTTTGGAGACACTGGGAAAACAGGAACCGAGCGAAAACCAGCAGGATTCAGCAAAAACAATTATAAAAATATATACGTGCATTTTTCTGCCTAATTTTGCATGTATAGTAGTTTTGCTTATTTCTTATTGTTCAATGCTATTTGTTTGCTTTTTTTTTTTTTTTTTTTTTAAAATCAATTTCTCCATCACCTATAAACAGCAGGCAGACAGATCTCTGTGGCTTGATGACACCACAGATTCTCTCAATGGATGTCAAGCTTTGCTTTGGCCAATTTCTACATCTTTTCTGACTTCAAACTCGTCTAACTGGTTTAAATGTAATACAGCAGGCATCAGAGCAAACCTATAATCAGTCTGTGGAGAGCACACAGGAATGAACTTGGACTGGCTGATCTACTGAAGTACATATTTGTTTATTTCTGTTCTGTATCTGCTCCAGTAAAATAAAATAAAACACTAACAACAAACTAACAGTGCAGGCTGACTTTTATCAGTATGGATGAATTGAATGCAGAGATTACCCTGAAGACAAGTTCCTTTTCAGGCAGAAACTACTGGAATTTGTTAGCTTTTAGGATCCCATTGTGGACTTCAAAAATAGTAGAGAATCTGAAGAGAATCAGTAAATTCCCAATGTTTACATTTATGCTAAGCATCACTCCTTCCTCCTCTCTAAAACCTTTCTAAGTTGTTTTATCTTTCCATAGCATGGACTTGTTCACAGCATGGAGTTTGTTTTTAAGTTGTGCTTGAAAATTATCCACCACTTAATAAAAATGGCAGTCAACCTATTTGTTACTATACCGCTTTCCAACTCACATGCCACGTAATACACAAAAAAAGAAAGAAGCTGAGGAGCCTGCTGGTCTGCCACAGCTCCAAAACCCAAGAAGAAAAGCTACCTTTGTTGGATGCGTGGGTCCGTTTGCACCAGGGGCAGGATGGCTTCCAGCACTTTACTTGCTGAGCCTGGCAGCATCTCTAATACTTTCTTATCAATTGCCATTTTGTCCACAATCGTCTTAAAGTAGCGCAGGGCACTGACGACCTCCTTCTCCTTCTCCTCTAGCCATGATACGTTCTGAAGAATAGGAAAAAGTGAGAGAAATGTTGTAACGTCAGGATTTTAAAGGGAAAAGTTGCTTTTACTTACCCGAAGAAGGGTCTGCAACCTAATTCATTCCGTGATGGTGCTGGGTCAAGGGAACCCACACAGCTTTTATAGGGACAGACCATGAAAGCTAACTTTTGGCATCAGTGAATGAATGCTGCAGAAGGGAACAACTCACTGGCATACAGCTGAGTTGTTGCCACCAACTTCTGTGCCATCGTCAAAGTGAGGAAAGGAAATTCAGAAGCGATATATGACATCCTAATGGCATTCTGGACAGGGCTATTTAAAAAAGAAAGTTTAACAGAATATGCCTGGAGGACTTTTAATGCCACAAGTAGTTCCTAAGTGAGATTTAAATTAACCACTGAACATTGCCAGAAAGGAGCAGAGAGCTTAGCAGAGTCAGGTTTCATCCATTATCTCTTCAGTAAATTCAGCTTCAAGAATTAATGACCTATGGGCATTGTGAGCTCCCCGTACTCTCGTCAGCAGTTGAACTGCTGCTTTTTTATAAAATCAGGCCAGCAGCCCAAAAGGCTTCAGGAAGAACAATTCACAGGCAGCACCGGTTAGTAACCAGGGGCCAGATCCATAAAAGGAGTCCCAAGTCCCACGTAGCTCTGACTTCTGAAGCCTAAGTCCAAATCTACCCTGTCATTTCCATCTCATCTGGGAAGTCCCGAGCTCTGCTGCTGTCTCCCCTTCCGACAAAGCTGCTGGCTGGGCCCTTTCCATTCCTGCTTCACAGCCCACCCACAGTCACTGAACTTCACTGCTGAGGAGCATCCCGGCAACTCACTGATCTCAAAAAGCACATTTCCCATTCTTCAGGCATGCACCCTCACCACTGCACAGCCCATTCCAGGCTGTGGAGAGGCACTTCATGTGAAACGATTACAGATTTCAGGGATGAGAGAGGATGGACGCAGCATGCCTATGGCCTGTGGTCAGAGCCCTCAAACAGAAGTGAAAAAATGCAGACTGCAGTTCCTGCTTTGATTAATGTTTATATATTCATTCAACAACTGTTTCCTGTAGAAGGGCTTGTGACTTAATAGCTTAAACACTCTCCTGGACACAGGAGGGATGGGCCTGGGATTGACACGTGGAAACAGAAAGCTTTCCACTGAGCACACCAAGGCATGCACAGCAGCCACCAGACGCTATGTGGGACACAGCCCTTTTTTCCATGATTTCCCTGCTAGCTCATTGGGAAAGAACCCTGGGAAAGCACCTTTTATGCATCTCTTTCTCAGGTCCAAAGAGCTCGTATCTATGTGAGAGCACAGACACACAAACATACACAAAAAAAGCCTGCGTGTCCTGCAAGGATGGCAGGTTGTGTTACAGAGCTCAAATACATAAGTGTCAGTTGTTGCTACGAGCCTGGAGGCTTTTTTCAGTGTGTTCCTAAAGCCAAAGCAAACGTAGGATGGAATCTTTCTGGGCTGGAGAGAAGACTTGGAAGTAATCTCTCATTGAATTCCTCAGCAGAGATGAACTTGCCCCCATGGCTATATTCCCTTATGTTGGAGCAGATCTGTAGCTGCAGGAGCTACTGAAGCAGTGCTACCACTTGCTTCAGCAGTGTCCAGATGGGCATTAAAGGAGATCATTCAGGCAACACAACATTTCCTCTCCACTTTCCTGCCTACTTGACACAGGCAGATATTTATTTTTGCATGAATTTGAAAGGTTTCCCTTAAAACAATCATTACAAATGCATCATATATGAAATGCAGATGGGTTACAGAGGGCCATGCAACCACTTACAGAAGCAGTAACAAGTCACTTCTTTCCCTGCACTTTACCAGTAAAAATTCTGTCCTAACTCTGCAACAGCAGTGTTGAAGGACACTACAGTATGTCCTCAGATTAGAATCAAAGATGGCCCAGCACACAAACAAGCTCTGAAATATATTTTTGCCACATCCAGGTATAAAAGGGAAGAAGAGGAGATGCACACTGAGCACAACATTCAGGTTACGTGCAGCGATCTTACACTGATTTTTAGTATTGCTATTTCTGCTGTAGGGCGATTATCTACTTCAAGAGTATAAAAATAGCACCTAGAACTTGAGAGGGAGAAAAGGATTATTTAGTATAGCAAGCGTGTCTTCTGACACAAAATCTCTTATTTGTCAAGACATCTTGACACTGTGTTCCAGTGGGGGACCCAGGTGACAGTTCAGGCACATCCTCTTCTCCACTCCCCTCCACACTAAGCTGATGAGCTATTTCCAACTAATTGATTAGCTGGACTGTGGCTATTAAATTAGAGAAGGACAACACCAGCAATCAATATTTCACAGTACAAAATGTATACGGCTGAAATAATTGTCTACAATAATAACAATGATTTCAAGTGCTTTGATTTCCAATGAAAAAAATCCCATTCTGTACATAAAAAAAAATGCTACCATGTATTTGCTACAGAACAGCATTTTGAAAATGGCTCTTCATTTGATCATTTCTTTCATTTGTGGTCACGCATCAATTTAAAGCAAAGACTTCTGCATTTCCTACATGCGTTTTAGTGAATCAATCCATTAAAATAACACTGAGAAAAAACTTCCCAGTAAAATGATCCAATGCATTTTTAGAGCAAAAGTACGTCCTACAAGAGATGCCTCTGAATTGATCTTCACATACCATCTTCAAACACTGCTGGAAATAAAAGCCTTCAGAGAGTGCTCTCAAGACTTCTGGCAGCAGGCCGGTATGCATGCGGGGCAGTGCAAGGTGCTCAGCTCCCTGGAAAGCTATCTGTTGCCTCCTGCAGAAAGAACCTACAGCCTCATCCTTTCCTGCATGATAGGGCAGAACCACGAAGTTGCGCAGCCGCTTCCCTGGATGCTAAGCACATCACACAGTGTCAGATAGCTGTACCTTGCTGACTGCTCACAGTAACAGCACAGCAATCCTCAGAGCAGATAATCCAAAAAGTTTGCACGTCTGGCACTGCACACTGGAGGCTTTCAGCAACTGGGAAAGAGTCTGAATTATCACAAGTAACCTTGACTGTTCTTAACTTCTTACTTAATTTGTACTTGAAAATGTATTGCAACAGTACTGTCCAGAGATAGCCTCTGTTCTACATAATCAGGCCACAGCAACAGAAGAGATAACTCTGATGTGTGTCTGTGTTGGGAAGGAGTGGTGAGCTCAGCTCTTACAGGGACTGAAGTGCACTGGTGTAAGGAATAGTGTGCTGGAATCAGCTGCTCCTTGAAGGCATCTGCTTGACTCTCCCTGCTGACATCATCAGAGATTGAGCACATCTTTGGACGAGCTTCAAGGATTTGCTCGCCAGGGTTTTGGATTTTTAAGAAGATCACACCCCAAAACCAGGCAGTAAACTGGAAGCTGTAAGCATAATCATAGGGTGTGCATGTTGGGAAGATGTGTCAGGCATTAAACTACATTCTGTAATGAGACGTTTAAACAATGATGGAAGGAAGCTTCATCAGCAACTCGAAAAGAAAATCCATCTCTTATTGTACACTACATAACACAGTTTAAAACTAACCAGAAAGCATCCTGATGTTCCCTGATGTATCTGCAAAATTCTGCAGAGGGCAAAGTCACAGACTGAAAGCAGAGCTGTAGATTTTAAAAACCTGAGTAACAGAAAGCAAGAAACCAGTGAGACCAATAGAAGATGCTCTTCATTCACTTACTTTGTTTGCTGACTTCTCTGGTGTTTTCACTGTCAGGTCAGCTTGCTTTCCCTTCTTGGAAGGAGTTCTCTTTATTTTTGGTGAATGAAACTTGCCCTTCAACTTCATAGTGAATGAGGAGAGATGGGAACGCTCGGAATCTAGAAAGACACAGAAAAGCATCACAAGGTTAGGGTAAACTGGCTGAAAACAGGGAAGTTGTGCTACAGCATTATCTGGGAAACCAGCCTATGAAAATCATTGCAACCATGTTAATTTGTTGAGTGGAACAGGATTAAAAAAAATAATTGTGACTCTCTATTACGTTTGCAACCGCAATATGGCCACCATTTCCTGCTTCCCCTCGGAGGCAGATATACTGAAGTGCCAAGGCAGGAACAGCAGGATCCTATTCCTCTGTGCCTTGCAGAGAAAAGGAAAAACACATCTCCTAAAAGCACTCGGCCCCAGCAAATCCCAAAGTACGTTATGAAGGAGGTAACCACCATCCCTCCCTTGCACACAAGGAAATGAAGTCAAGGGGATGAAGTGGCTTGTTCTCAGAGCAGGGAACGAATCTGGGTGCCTGAGCCTTGCTCGTGTCTTGCTGGGGTCACCAAGGAGCCACCAAGCAGGCACCCAGGACAGAAAAACACAGGCTGACCTACTGCCCTGCACAGGCTGCTGGTCCCTCGCTCTGCTCACTTGGCAGCACTGCCTTTGGTTGGGGCTGCATGAATTATCTGAAGAAAAGTACCAGTCCCAGCCATTCACAGCAGATCACACGCCAAATGTATCAACATAAACCATATGGGCAGAGGGCATAGCTTCAATATTGGTGCATCCCCAAAGAAGGTTTATTACTGAACCACTCAGACCTTTTGAAAAGCTTGCCTTTTCAAAGTTTTCTGATGATCTAAAAGTAGTCTCAAAGGTTTGCAGTCATGCCACATGCAAACTCACTGGTGAAAGATGTCTTTCTCTGTTTATCCAGCCAGCTAGATAAAACTATGCTGCCTTGAAAGCAATTTAGAATGTATTTTAAGCAAGCAGTACTTTAATAAATGAAGGTTTGAACTGCTTCTCTAGTGACCGAAATACTTCAGCCAAAGACACTGAACTTACCTTTAGCTTCCTTATCAGGAAAAGTAAGCAGTTCTGCTGTACGTTTCATTTTTTCTTTTATATTATTTGGGAATTGGCTGCACTGGCTGCAGTGAGTCAGAACGACCCAGTCCCCACGTGCAGCACTGCTCCACCTCGTTAGCATGCAGACTGCAATCAGAAAATGCCGCTGAGTCAAATCTAGCACCCCGAAGCTAAATGCCACACTGCAGCATGAACACCGCTCCTAATACCCAGAAATCACCTAACCACAACTCGAGGGAAAGAACCTCTGCTGGTCCCCCCTCATGGCTGTCTCCCCTTCAGCTTTTACCAGGCAGGACATTAAGACCCTGCTATTAACACCTTCACCGGAGCCAAAACTCCAGCTAGTTAGGTCCTCTGGATCAACAATTTTGCAGGCACGCTGTTAATGGAAGCTTCAGTTCTCATCTTGTCTGGCTGCAGACCCGTTCCCCGCTTACAGGGTTCTCAAAGCTCTCTTTGCAGTATAGAGTCTCCTGTTCAACGCACTGGGGAGGGAGGCACCACAAACACTGGTCACTGCATTTAAACCCAGAGGTATCAGGTGGACTCTGAGGAATCACTGGTAGCAGCTGGCACCCCAACTTAGCAACAATTTACGTCACTGCTTTACATCCACAGGGGGATCTCCTACCCTTTAAAACCTCTGCGGCTCCACAGTGTTGAAGGTCACCACTGAAAACAGCGCCTGGCTGCCCTCATACACCATAAAAAAGTAATTGTTTGGTACACGATGGGAGAACTTTCATACATGTGTAGATATGCAGGCTGAGAAAGTCATGGCTCAGGCTTCATTTTGGAAAGGACAGGCAAACAGTTAAAATAATTAATCTACAGGAAAATTACGGTAGCAGCAACAAATTATGTCTGGCTCCTCCACGTGCAGCAGCAAGATCCAAGCTGTTTGTCTGGGGGGAAAATACCCTTGCTCCTTGCTTGTTTACAGTGATAATTCAGCCTTGTAGAGGCAAGAAAGCAGGAAGGTTTCAGAAGACTGCAATTTCCATTTCCTCTTCCCATCAGCCATCTCTACCCAACTTTGCTCAGCAGTGGGTGCACAGCCAGCAGCTTCAGAACGATGTGTTGCCCATGAGGAAATCTATTCTTCTGCCAACAGCAGATCCTCTTCACTACTGCCACCAGCCCACCCACTGCCCTTTACCTTCATCCCCTTCCATCACATCAAATGCTGAATCACTTGCATGGCAGCACTCTGAGAGAACAGAGACTTGCAGAGCCAGGAAAGGAACAAGTGGAAGCAGAATGGGAACTCCTCAAAATAGTACTATCGAGGTATAACAGCTGCCAGATGCAGAAATAAAGGTTATTGTTTGAGCAACCCTGTTAAGACCTATTTTGACAACCACACATTCGTGCAGCTTTTTATTACTGTCCTTACAACTACAATAAGCATTTTCCAGATCTCATCTGCTCGTAAGTTTCTGATGCAGCTGTAGTTAACCAAATGAGTCACAAACTCATTCTCTCAGACTCAGTTGCAGTTGGCACTTAAAATAGCTCTCATCTTTTTCCAAGCACGTTGCAAGCGCATCATCCTTAAACAGTTGGGTCTTAACTTTGTTTGGCTCATCTGTGAAGGTGAAGCAACTTGCCTAAACAGAGCATATAGTCAGTCAATGATTCAGGTGCAGAATCTCTCCATTTCCAAACATAAAAATCACGCTGCAAACCTCGGTCCCCCTCCCAATATTCATGAGTCAAACTGTGGAGCTGCTGTGATCGTACTGGACTAGATGACCTTTAAAGGTCCCTTCCAACTCTAAGGATTCTATGATATTCACTGAATGCCAACAGACATTCAGCATGATAGGCTTTAGGGTTACCAGGCAAGCATTATAAATAGAGTTTGCATAGTAATGAATTCGGATGAAGTGGTCTCAAAGAAGCTGCGCTGAGATAGGAAGGTATTTTAGATCAAAGCTGCAAGCAGCCAAAGCTTTTACAGAGGAGGGCTAAAACCTGCCTATAAAAAGCACAGCTGTGCAAGGCTGCCTAGGTTGGTTACCTCTGCTTTTAAAAGCTCACTTACTTCATCCAGTATTCATTCAAGTACATAGCATGCTATGCCTGTCCAGTTAAAAGTTCAAACAGCACAGCATGCCTTCACTGATCAAATTATTTGATAATGTACAATGAGTAGAAAACAGAGCCACGACAGAGCTCCAGACACTTCTGTCCCTCTGCACCTTCCTGCCTGTCTGCTGTAACCAGACTCCTTAAGGCAGCATTGATGCTGTTCCTGAGCTTGGGAATCTGCCCATCAGAGACTGTTCTATCAAATTACTCTCTCCTCCTGTTGATGAGGAATTGGCAGAGTTTCGCGGAATAACAGCACCAGCCTCCTGAGCTTCTCCTTCCCTCCGATGGCAGAAGTGGGATACCTGTATATACACTTCTACAGAATCCAAATTAATAAGATGAATGGGAAAAGGCAGGGTAAGAAGTTGGATGTAGTGATTTCAACTGGAATGGGGAAAAAAGACACTGTTGTATCAAAGCACTTCTGTCACAAAGGAACTTCCCATCCCCTCCTATTTCATCCGTCTGGATGCCTTGCTGCTGCACACCACCGGAAAAAGAAAAAAATCCCTTCAAAATTACTTTACCATGGATTTGAATTTCTTAGTTCCTGACTGGGAGTTTTCATACATCACCTGCTTCACAGCAAGTTCCATTCCCCTATTTAAAAGGCTCCTGTGCTTGAACATGTTCCAGCTGTTGAGTCACGGCCTTGCATGGCTCTGAAGCCCATCTCCCCCAGGTCAGCACGTGCCTGGGCTCTGACCACACACCGACCTCAGGAACCCCCTTTAGGGTGTGCACTGATGGCCCTGCTGCTGGCCACACTGCAGGCCCACAGCCCAGCCCCACAGCACGGCCCTGCTGCTCGCAGTGTGCTGGCAAAGTTGGGTGTGATGAGGAAAGAACTGCAGATTGCAAAGCAGACAGGAATAAGAGGCACAAAGAAAGGCTGATCACTGGTTTGTGTGCCTGTGTGTGAAGGAACTAGACTGCTTAGGGGAAAGCCAGCAAGTCAAAGCTCTGTGTCTGCAGCACTGCTAGCATAGAGAAATGGTTGTTTTCCACTCAGGTTCAAAAAGCCACTAGAAACTAAAGTCAAAACACACATGCTGGTGAATTCCAGCAGCCTAGCTGGCAGCATACTGCTCAGTCTGAAGTCAAAGTGAAAGCTCAGCACTGTGCAGAGCTTAGAGCAGAGAGCAGGCCATCTCCCACCCGCAGCTGAGGGAACCTTCGGAGTGAGAAGGAAACCCCCATGTCTGCTTCTGGGCTTGTGGAGACGTTGGTGTGCTGCTCAGTGACAGGCACAGCGATGCACTATTTGACAGTTCAACTTGGCCAGTGTTTGCATCATATCCACCAAAAATGAAAATGTACTTTTTTTTCTTCAGCTTCAGGATACAGTATCTTTTCTATCCCACACCCGAAAAAAGAAACCCTCCGTCCTCTCCCATTCTGTACGTGTTCACACGCAGCAACCCTGCAGCTTTAGAGAGAGAAAGCCTTTAAAAAAGGGGGCTAAAGTTCACTTTGCAGCTTGAACTGATTCTCAAGGCTTGTTACAAAGAATGAAGAAGTCTAAAATCTTATCCAACAGCCCCTTTTAGAGGCCATTTGGGTCTCTGATGGATGCAGGCATTTAAAAGCTACCAGATTAAAAATAACAGACATTTCTCCCCATGTCATAATGAAGCTATGGTGTACAGTTTTAATCAACTGCTCCTGCCATTTGTGCCACGAGTCCTTTGAACACAAAGGTGACTTATGTAATGAATTACACAACAATGCCCATTAAAATGGCATTTGTTCCCCGGGGCATAGCTTGATCATTTGTGGAAGACAAAAGGCAAGTTGCAAGGCTTCAACTAAACCCTTGCTGACAGGGACTTTAAGGGTTCAGAAGCAAAAGGGGAAAATAATGAGATATAGTTCAAAAGGACTTTTCTGCTGAGCCTGCCCATTGGGTGCTGCAATGCAATGCAAAGGAAGCAACAGCGATGGGGCTGCTGCTCTTGGTCCACTGGACCCAATTTTGCTGTCAGAAAAATGAGAGGACAGTTACATCAGAACGGGCAGATGGGTTCAGAAGGGCGTCTGATGACAATCACAAAACGTTCTGCAAGGCACAGATCTGTCAAGATATTACATGAGTATTACTGGAGATCCACGGAGAATTAAAGGAATAGAAAAGGAGAATTCCATTTACGGCTTTCATGCCTGCCATGCCCAACTCAGCTCTCCTTGACTTGGCTTTCTGCTGCATTTCATGCCCTCTTTCTCCAGAAGCCCTAGGGATGGTTTAGCATCTAAAGATGCTGACGTGTAGCACTCTCATGATGCTGCACGCTCTCCCAAGGATGAGCTGCTGTCCTGAACACGCAGAAGACAAGGAGAATATTCCTTTCAGACTTCTGAGTGTGTTATGGGCGCGCTGCAGGAGCCTCAGACCTACCACTTCCACCGGAGCAAGTTTGCTTTTCTCAACCTTGTCATCACCCAAAGAGACTGAAGCAACGAGAATTCACCCAGAAACAAAAAAACCCAAAAGCCTGTACTGGGGATTCAGCAAGAAAGAAAAGGGAGGGTCCCATGTGGAGCAGGAAGCTCGCCCACCCTAACCTTTGTACCTTAGGTGGGGCTGGCTCTGAGCACCAAGGCCCTCTTCAGAGAATGTTTGCCAGGACAGCTGCCAGATTTCGGAGGAAAACGGCAGAGGAGGGGCAGCTGAGGATCAAACAATGGTTCCTGAGCTCTGAGGAAACTTTTCCTTTAACATCACGTCACCTTGGAAGCAGCCAGCATTTGGAAGCGGAAAGACCGACTGCCCTTTTTCTATTTTGGCAACATTACAGTGAATGAGCATAACCCAGCGAGCATTAATGATGTGCAATGACAGCACACAAACTTCTATGGAGAAGGGAGGCTCAGTTCGCTCTCAGCTGGCCAGGCTCTGCTCAGTGACTCACAGGCTTCATTATTTTTTATGCCGCCCTCTGGGGCCTCCAGAGGAAGCAAAACATTTTTATTTGTCAGAGAGCACATTTTTATTTAGATTTTATTTATTTACTTTTTTTAGGCATCCA